TAAAACCCTTAGCGTTCATACCAGACTTTTGATAACCGGTTTTGTAAAAATCCTGTCCGGTGAATATCCAATTAATCGGCCATGACTGCAGTTTGAATAACCGTTCCTCCCGCTCTTCTGATTGTTGTCCTTGGCCTTCTTGCTTGTATGCCGTCTTCAGTTTGTTTTATTACCTTAGTGCATCACTGATCCTTTATCTTCAAGAAATCAGCCTCCTCCAACATTTTTGTTTCGGTAGAGCCCTCCCCCCCTAGCTTTTTCGAATTTGGCGACTCCTGCTCTCCAAACCTTAGTATCAGGAGCGTCCCGTTCGCCGACCAGGTTGCGTTTGCTGATTCCATCGCAAAATGAAGAAAAACCGTGGAAAAACAGTGGAAACGAACTCAAAGTTGGTCAAAACAACGCGATCAAAAAAGCTTGCAGGTCGCACAGTCGGCCAGGATGCTGACCCGTGACCCCGGAATTATGACGCAAAAACCGGTTCAATAAACCCTTAGCGTTCAGACCAGGTTTTTCGGTGGAAAAACCCTTCAAAAACCCCTCAAAAACCACCTCCCGAGGTGGTTTTTCAAAATCGGATTTAAACCCCTAAAAAACCGGTTAATTTGCGTTCACACCAGGTTAAATAAAAACCGGTTTTTGAAAAACCGGTTGAAACCGCTAAATATAACTCTGGTATGAACAGGGTCTTATTAACTTGTTTCTCTGCAGTTCTAAGGTTCTCAGTTGCGACGTTGAACTGAAACTTCCAGCCTGAATACCACTGATGTCATTACCTTGCAGCAAAAGTTGCTGCAAGTTTCCCAGCCCTGTAAACATGTCAGATCTGAGGGTTGTTAACTTGTTGTTTTGCATTAGCAGCCACCTCAGCTGTGGTGTTGGACTAAAAGTCCCAGCCTGAATATCAGTGATGCCATTAGATGTTAGATGAAGGAACATCAAGTTTCCCAGGCATGTGAACATGTCAGATCTGAGGGTTGTAAAGTTGAACCTGTTAATATCCAGGTACAAGTCTCTCAGTTGTGGTGTGGAATTGAATGTTCCAGCTGGAATATCAGTGATGTCATTATAGTGCAGTTCAAGTGTCTGCAAGTTTCCCAGCCCTGTGAACATGTCAGGCCTGAGAGTTGTTATTCGGTTAACAGAAAGCCTCAATCTTCCCAACTTTGACAAGTTATAGAACGCCTGCCTATTGATGGCAGAAATGTGATTGCTACTAAGCCCTAAAGTCTCTACGTTTCTATAACGTGAGAAATCAGACTGACTTAAAGTTATGATTTGATTCCCTGCCAAATTCAAGTTTGTGATGTTTGTCGGAAGGTCCTGTGGAACGCTGGTCAGACCCAGACTGCTACAGTCACAGGCCGAAGCTGTGCAGCTGCAGGCAGCTTCTATTGTCCCCAACACCTTAAGGATGACCAGGAGGAACATCAGCACACCTGCTGGCTTCTTACCCATGATGCAGTAACTGTCCTGGTACAAGATTAAGATACTAAAATAAATGGAATGCCTCACAATTACTTGACTGCATATTTTACACTCCTAAGTCAACATATCACTTCTTCATACATCGGTTACCATGTTCAACTTAGTAGGATCAAACTCACCTCGATACTGATGTTGTGAAAATTGACACCCATCAACTATCAGGCTAGAGACTCGTCAGCTGCTACTCTGCACTTCGGATGTCAAACCTGGAAACAATCATTATGATAATTGTAAGTGTTACAATCATTTTTAACACTTGTATGAGTACAATGATTTTGAATATTCTATGAATAAACTACACAGGTAAAAAGATAAGAATTATTGCTGCTTATTCATTATAATACATCTTTTAAAAATTTTTCACTAATTGATAGACAAAGGGGCCAAACTTACCTAGATTATGGTAGTGCAGAGATTGACAGCTGTCAGTCACAACTCAGGTTTCCCGATCGTCTGCACAAAAACTGGAAAAAAATTAGGAAAGTGGTGCAGGTTATTGTTACAATAGTTCTGTCATTCTGTTTGGAATCCATAAATAGCATCAGGGCAATAAAGTTACATTATGCGCCTCTGCTGACTACTAAAAAAAGTTCAAAAGTACCTTGCAAGTTTATCCAAAGTTTCCCTGGAAGACAGAGCTTCAGACACAGCGAGGCTGGTTAAGAGTTCTTCTCTCCTGGGACCTGCTTATCTTAAATGTTGTTCCTCTATTTTATAGCTGCGTCACGAGTTGTAACTTGAAAAATCTGACTTCTACACTTTGTACTTTGACCAATTGGTATGACAATAGGTTACCCTGACTGGACATTGGTCTGGGTGGTTAAATATTCATCACCATACGTGCTGACTATCATTGTGCGGTATTTGTAGGTAGAGCTGTGTACCTAAACAAATTTTAGGTACAGGTACAGGTACACAGGTTTAGGTACAGGTCCGGACCTGAACCTGTACCTGAACAATTCGACCAATGTATATGCTCTTCTGAACTCCTGTAATAACTAGAAAAACATTGATATAGGTTTAATTTTTGTTTATGGAGAATGTTCAGATAAAATATAGGTAAAAGTAAAGATGTTTTTGTTTTCATGAACACACAGGGACCCATTGTTAACCAGCTATTTACACATTTGAGGTCACAAATAGGCATAAAATTGGTGTGAAATTGTTTAGGTACAGTACCGGTACTGAGGGATTAGGTATTTTGGACCTGTACCTAATCAATTTTTCCGGTACAGTATCGGGTACACAGCTCTATTTGTAGGTTACACAAACATGCATGCACCCACCCACTCATCTACACACATGTAGAGACACATTCACACACTTTATTTATGATCTACAATGTACTATAATTCCTAAGTTTGTACATTTTGGAGTTTGACCTCTGACAATCTCACACACTGACTCTGACTGATTATAATTGTATCTTATATAAATTATTAAATTTCATTTTTTCGTATCTAATTATTATTTTATGCTTCATTATTTTCTTGTATCCCATGGGCTCCATCAATGGCTGAAGGGACTACCCATTTGTCTCTAAGATGAATGAATAAATAAATAAATAAAACAGACAGACTCCTTCACATAGACACACACACAGAGTTTAACACGGATACATGTACAAGCACACACAAACACACATGTACATACATGTAGACACACAAAACAATACAAAACACACAAAAAATAAATTTGCTAATAATTTATTTACTTCATTATTTGACAAACATGACAAAAATCTCAGTAACAAAATATTACATCTGACATTAATTAACAGATATAAGTTTCCTATGGCTCACAAAACACTCATAATTCATACTTGCAAAATGTCAAAATTGTTTAGTTTTTTTGGTTCATAATCGACACAAAACTGTTACGACTAAATTCTTTGAAAACCTTATCAATACAATATAAAACAAGCCGCCAGGTGGCCCAAAATCTAATCATTTTGAGGTCTCATCAAGACCTACCCACCTACCAAATATCAAGTCAGTCCGTTTAAGCCTTCTCAAGTTATCGTGTTTACAGACAGACAGACACACACACACACACATACACGAACGCCTCTGAAAACATAACCTTCTTGGCGAAGGTAATTAAAAAGCAATGAAAAGTTATTCAGACAGTATAAACTATAATTAACTAGACCTTTCATATCTTGTTTTGCTATTAGTCAAAATTCTGTTTTATTTTTTTCTCTTTGTGCCTGCAATTGCAACATGGATGATTGCATTTAATTTATTTCCTACAAGAAGTTCATTGCTGCAATTCATGTACATTAAATACATGATTGTACTTTGCCACACATGTACCTACAGATACATGTAACATTGTGGCACTGATGATCAGTTATGCTACATGGTATAGATACATTGTATACACTTTAGCTACAGTGTATCATTGCTGCTGAGCACCAATCAAAACGCTTCATTACCTGCTAGCTATAGCAAACTATATTTAGGAATGCAGTTTAAGTTTCAAACCTAGAACTTTGACCAAAATGCTTGAGAAGCCATCCCAGCAAATGCAATCTCAAGATGAAAGAAACAATATCATTTTTAAACAAACACACAAAAATGGCTTGGACTTAAATTTACAAGAGAAGCTTCTGACTTCGCTTTTTTCTTAGGATAATTTTGTTGATGATTTCGAAATTAACATCCCCTCCCAAAAATGCCCCTCCTTTAGAAGTAAACAGCCAAATTTCACAGTAAATTGAGGAGCACTATCATTCATAAAAATGTGCGTTTGGTCCTAATTGTAAAAATATTATAATTATAATACTGTAACTTGGCCCTGTGCTTTTGTTACTGCAGTTGGTGAGAGCTTATTGACATTATAACCCATGGATCATTCCCAAATTTTTCATTATCTAGTACTAAAAGTTTCTTCACTTCTCCTTGCTATATAATTTCTCTCATTCGAAATCTACAACTTTTCCAAATCTATCTCAACTTTGCCCCCAAATCTAAGGAAACAGTTACTCAAGCAACTGGATAGATTTTGAAAACTGTTAGACACGTCAAGTAGCATCCACTACAGTAACAGTACTAGTAACTGCGACCTGCAATGGCCTCTTCTCTCCAAAAGGAAGAGGAGCACCCACCTTACAACATTTCTTAAAATACACTGTAGCTCATAACATTGTTGCAATCAACACCCAAACCGACAGGTTTTTGCAGCCCACACAGGGGCGTACCCGAGGGAGTCATGCACTCAAATACCGGACTATTAACACACGCACTGACACCTACAGATTTTGTTTTTTTCCCGTACCATTCCACAGTGGAACTCCTTACCCGGCCCAGTAGTTATGGCTCCCAATGTTGAGTCGTTCCGGGCCGGGCTGGCGGCATGCCCGCCTTAGCCTGGACCCCCTCCCCCCCCTAACGGCACCCATCGTGGGGTTATTTGGGGGTACCAAAGATGAAGACGAACTGATGAAAAGTAGTAGAAACTTAATACGTCTGACAGTTTCTAAAATCTATCCAGTCGCTTGAGGAACAATTTCCCTGTCTAAGACGACTTGTGTACTAAGTACTCCCAGGTGTTGTGCGGTAAGAACAAAGTTAAGACGTCTCCACTTCCCTGCGTGTCCTCAGAGCTCCCCGTCGAAGGAAGAAGACGTGCTCGGTGCCGGCTCCTGGGAGGACTTCTTCTGAGGTAGGGAGGAACTCTGGGAAGACAAGACGTCTCAGGGTAAGAAACTGTAATCATCATTCAGAATCTATGAACTCTTAATTTCTGAATTACATACATTGGTAACAAGTAAACTGCCTCATGGCATAACAAATATACTTGGAGAGTTAGACTTGGTGAGAATGCAGTGCTTCTGAGTGTTGGGCCAATGAATTATATTTAATGTTTAACTGTAATTCTATACAGACATTAGAAAACTTGCTTATTATTGACCACGACTTAACATGAATTAACAAATCACATAGTATAGCTAAGCAAAGTACAGCTTCAATTTTTACTGTCAATCTTCTGCTTGCAATACATACACGTATTGGTTTCCCTTGATAAACTTCTACTTTTAATATCTGAGAACCAATGAAAATAACTTAAGAGGCCTTAAGACTAAACAAGAAGAATTTTGGTTGAGTTCTCACCTCTATATGCGGTGTTTCGGATGCGGGGGCTTCTGTGCCGTCCCTGGCGCCGGCTCTGAGTGATACAGGCGTGCGACTGTACTGTCTGCGATGCATCTCATCTACATGTGTGAGGTACCAGGTACCAGGGAACAGGTCTTCTACTGACCCTACTGGGGTGTACTTTGCTGTAAAAATAGAGACATGAGAACATTTGACAGTGTTCATAAGTGCCAGGCTCAGACAAAACTCAGAGAGAGACAGTAATACGACTGTACTGTCCTTAATAACTCAGAAGTCTCACAACATGTTCACATTGAGTCCCCGGGACATTCAGTATCTCTAGAAGGGGTTAAATCCTTGATTCTGAATCGGACTTCTTTGCAAGAGGAGTTAAGGAGGCAGTCAGCATTGGAGAGTCTGAATCTCACCACACTGTCAGATCGACGGGTTAGCCTCTGTCGGTCATTCGCCACATCCCTGTTGAACTCTGAGTTCAGGAACTGGTTACCCCTGACCAGGCGTGATGTGTCCGGACGGCAAACTCGCAACTCTCACAAGATTGACACACCATACTGTCGCACGGAGCGCTACAAAAACTCACCATTGCCCTACTTGATCGAACTTTTAAACAACGAATCTTGAATGGACACAAGTTATAAAGTTAGAGCCTTGTATTGTTAGTCTCACTATTACATCGCCTTTTATTCTTACAATGATCCCTGTTAACCGATTATTTTATGCCTACCCGTGAACCTTTTGTTGTAACTCACGACTTTTTCATTACTCGCTTAGCATTCTACAAAATAGTTAATTTCTCCATATGTATATATCGCTTACAAACTTTTTAAATATCTATAGGCTTTTATTAAATTTTAATGCGTCTTATTAAGCACACTTAGACATCTTTAATGTAATTATTTATTGTATATACACTGTATGTAAACAGACCTGTCAATTCAGCCTTTAGGCTGCTATAAGGCTGTAGTAATGAAATAAACTTCAAAAATAAACTTCAAATAAGTCTACATAAGAGCTCACAGACCTACCCTGAACAGAGACGGGGGGCGACACAAGTTATCTGGCACGTTTGACCCGCTACTACGGTCACGTGTCTCTGACGTCACGTTCCAAGAGTAGACGGGTCCATTCCGTGAACAAGGTTGATGGAGTCAACCGAAAATTTGGGGTAAGTCCCAATTCTATATCTAGTGTTGGAAGTTAAAGTTCAGTCTTTATTTCATAATGTCCTTAATATCATTGTCCTTACCTAAGTGGTACGTGTCTTCCCTGAGTTTCATCATCTCTGCAAAGTCAGTTGTTGGTTCATTACTATAGCTATTTTGTCTTGAAGACATTAAAGAGAGTTGTATGCATCATGGTTCTCTATGGTTGTTTCCTTAAGGTTTTTATGATCAGGAGTTCCTTGTTGTTGTCCTTACCTAAGTGATGCGTGTCTTCCCTGAGTTTCATCATCTCTGCAAAGTCAGCAGGGGAAAAGCACTTCCTGGAGTCCAGCCTGGCCTGTAGGAAGGAAAACAAAATGTATCATGAACTTATTACTTCTCCACAGCTTCTATATGGCTTCAAGTAGAGTGAAGATCAAAATGTATCATGAGCTGCCTCTTCTTTTTCAAAAGCTTCTACAATCATGTAGATGGACTCTTTCCAGTAGCACGCCAAGGTCAGCCTGGATGCCAGATTGCTACAAGGGCCTACACAAGCCAGCTTGTTTGCTCCCAGGCCAAGATGCCCACAAGGAATTCTAACACACTCTCCCAAGTTTAACATCTTTGGTTATCTGACTTTGTACTCATCTTAAGGTAAAGAATATTTCCAAGTACGAAAATATTATATAATGATATATGCAGCTATGTCAGTTACACATGTATATATTATGCAGATATATCACCTACTTAAGTCTTACATACAAATGTATGCAGCTACATAATGTCATTGTATATCAATTTAGACCTCTGCAATGTTAAGAAAGATTGATTGATTTTTTCATTGATTAATTGATTGATTGACACTTCTTGAGTCTTGTTCATACCTGAAGGTCAGAGAAGCTCCCTACAAGCCTCTCCAGCTGCGACCCCGGTGTTGCATCCTGGGATACCCGTACAGAGAACATGGCGGACGCCAGACCGGAGCCATAGGAAAAGAACCCGACCCTTCTACCCGCAAGGTCGGCTGCAGATTTACTGGGGGGAGATTTCAGGAACCATGAATATGATTTATAATAATACTGAACTTCAGCTTAGTACAGAGAACAGAGAACATGGCGGACGCCAGGCCCGACCCGTAGGAAAAGAACCCGACCCTTCTACCCGCAAGGTCAGCTGCAGATTTGCTGGGGGAAGATTTCAAAAACCATGAATATGATTTATAATAATAGTATTAATACTGAACTTCAGCTTAGTACAGAGAACAGAGAACATGGCGGACGCCAGGCCCGACCCATAGGAAAAGAACCCGACCCTTCTACTGGCAAGGTCGGCTGCAGATTTGCTGGGGGGAGACTTCAGGAACCATGAATATGATTTATAATAATACTGAACTTCAGCTTAGTACAGAGAACAGAGAACATGGCGGACGCCAGGCCGGAGCCGTAGGAAAAGAACCCGACCCTTCTACCCGCAAGGTCGGCTGCAGATTTACTGGGGGGAGATTTCAGGAACCATGAATATGATTTATAATAATACTGAACTTCAGCTTAGTACAGAGAACAGAGAACATGGCGGACGCCAGGCCCGACCCGTAGGAAAAGAACCCGACCCTCCGACCCGCAAGGTCAGACGCTGATTTACTGGGGGGAGAATCAGGAACAAAATGAGTATTTATGCTGAACTTGTTAGGAAGAAAGGTAGGTAGTAAGGAAGAACAGGAGAGAAGAAAGGAAAAGAAAAGCTGACAGTTAAGCCATGTTAGCGTACATAAAGAAAGAATAGGATACAAAATGAGAGTAATGAAAACTACACACAGAAAATGATAAGGCAAGGACATGCATTTGTACAAAACTGACACTAATCAAAGAAAAAGAGAGAGAGAATTAAAGAAAAAAGAGAAAAAGAAAACCAAAAGACAAGAAACTCCAAGAAAAAGACTTTCAACTACAACATCCTAATCTGTATCTTGCAGATCAGAAGGTATTCAGAAAGACACTAACATTATACTACAGTCTACATATGTCTGTTATAATGTCTCACCTATACAGTAGAGAAGCCAGCCCAGAGTACAGTGACGGTGTGTACATGTTCCCCACTTGTGTGGCCAGCAGCAGGGCCAGTTTGGTCTTACTGTTAAACAACACTCTTCTGGCATTCACAAAGACTGTACAATGTATACTAACACTATAATATAATACTAACCTATACAGTAGAGAAGCCAGTCCAGAGTACAGTGAAGGTGTGTACATGTTTCCCACTTGTGTGGCCAGCAGCAGGGCCAGTTTGGTCTTACTGTTGAACAGATCCTTACTGGCATTCACAAAAGCCTTCTCAAGATCCTTGTTGGAGAAAGTGTCCTCCAACTTTAAGTCCCTAGAAAAATGAAAGTGGTAAATTTAGTGAAAGTGACAAGGGTTTGAAAGTTTTGACATTAGAACTGTGGTAAAAATCTGAACTAGATACACCAGATAACTACATTTTGTACATGTATACCACAAAATATGAATTTCAAAGTACAAAATAGCATTTTAGCTACTATATATAGGTAAGGTACATGTGTATGGTGGATCTATGAATTACACCTAACCCTTGAACATCTAACTCTAAACGTTGTTTAAAGCTATCTAATGACAATGCCCCTACAGTAACTGTACTTGGTGACAGCGAGTTTCACTCTGAGATAGTTCTAGAAAAGAATGAGTTTTTTAACACCTCAATCCTTGGTTGATAACTCTGGTACTTGCAACAAAAGTCTTGAAAGATTGTTACCTAAAGGCCTCCAGTCCGGTGTACTTGGGGTCATCTTTGGCTGCGTCTAAGAAGTCGTTAAAGTAGAGCCTTGCGAAGGACTTCTGCACCAGTTTGCAGTAAGGAGTGTGGAACAGGCAGTAGTCAATGTCTTCTAGGGTCAGGGGGGACGTACGGCCTTCTGCCATGGGGAAATAAGGACAAATTAAGAACACACACAAACACACACTCACACACACAGAAACAAACACACACACATACACACACACACACAGTGACACGCATACAAACACACACAAACACACACACACACATACATACACACACGCACACACACACACACACACACACACACACACACACACATGCACAAAGAAACACAAACACACACACACGTTTATAAAACCCACGTACCTTCCACAGTGTGCACCTTGTGTTTGTAAAGTCTGTAGCACCTGTCCAGCGCGCCCAGGTAACACTGAATAGACAGCTTCCCGTCCACAACTGGGTACTCCGACACCATGTCTGGTTTGTAGAAGTCATACGCATGCTGCATGTGAGTCGCACGCAGGCCTGCAGGGAAAAATTAAGGAAATAAGTTGATTAATGAATGAACGAAAGAACTTTACTGAGCATTCCTGCCTCCAAGGGCTTGATACAGTTAGTAAATTGTGAGTAACAGGTAAAAAAAAGAATAAGGACATCCATTTCACTCTAAAACACTATGACTATGTATATGAGAACAGAGACTCTTTCTTGTAGTTTAAACAGTATTTACAGAAAATCCCCATGCTCTTTTTGACAAGCACATTGTAGTAACAGTGGACTCACTACAGCTTAATGTGTTGTCCTACATGTATAAGGACTTGCCAGTAGTGAGCAACTTGGGTGAGTGACAAGATTCCAACTTTTTTGAGATAACCACTCGACTACACACACTTCTGATGTGTGCCTTCAAACTTTTTTCAGATCGTCATTCTTCAATTCAAGTCCAATGTCCAAGAAACTCTTGAGAGACTCGACCTGTTCACAACTGACACCTAGCAGAAATTCTACAAACTGCAGTGCCTCATGCCGTAGCTCAGGGAGCGATGTGACTGAATATGCAAATTAGCAATGATGATCAAAGGGCACTTTTATGTTATTACAACTGTTTAAGGATCCCGAGGACACCTAGCAGAAACTGAACAAACTGCAGTCGCCCATCTTAAAGAGCTTTTTAGCGTACGACTAGATTCTCTTCTAGCTCACATCATAAATTATTAAAAGTCTACAAGTAAATTTGTATCCTTGCACTGTCCAGTCTCTAGGTAGTTCTACAGAAATAGCCTTTTTGCACTGACTGCAAAAGTATGAAATCCTCTCCTTAACAAGTGTTTTCCACCCAAATTCAACCCACATGCCTTCAAGTATGGAGTGGAACTCGCTGTCACCAAATACAGTAGGGGCATTGTCATTAGATAGCTTTAAACAAAGTCTAGAGTTAGATGTTCAAGGGTTAGGTGTAACAAGTCGATCGGTGTAATATGGTCAGCTGCCGCCGCACCGTGTGCCTGTGAAGCTGGTGTGTTACGCAGAAAGGCGGTTATACCGGCTATATACAGATACAGAAGTATACATGTAGCTCCTACAAACTTGCTAGTACATTGTAGTTCAATGCCCAGAAGTGGTCTTTTGGCCTTGCATTGAGCAAACTTCGTAAAAAAAAAGCCCACCAGATACGAGATGTGACCAAATATGCAAATTAGACCACAGGTAGGAAAGGTCTTTCACATCTACACCCACGTTTGTCTCAGGTAACATGAAAAACAAGTTAATGTCGGTCATCCAAGGTGATACAAATAACCAAAGTCTACATCAAACAGTTATAGTCGGCACTTTTGGAGATAAATGTTTCAAGTTCAAATAATTATATTATTGGGCCTGATGCCCATTATGTACAAAGTATGATGCTACTTACTGCTGACATTCCTGGCATAATATTTTTCAATAATTTCATGTCTCAATTAGAACTTTTTTGCTCTGCGGTGGCATAGCTACTTCCGCATTCGTTGCGTTTCGCTACGGTGTGATGCGTTGCACGAGAAATACCCCCAAATGGTACCTATACAGGGTGCTATAGAGATGGTACTGTATGTGCAGAACAACAATTGTTGTGCTCCGCAGGACAAGGGTTTAAAATACAAACTTGCATGTAGAATTTTGCAAACCTGCAATTCTATAAGTTCAAAAGTTCTGTTCAAGAGTACTTAGTCTACATACATCCTAAGAAATGCTGACAGCTTAAAAATGCTTCTTGAAAGCAACTCATTAAGTTGCACAGGAATATTAAAGTTAAGCTATTGAAATTACCAATTTTACCAATCTGGTCACTTGAATTCTGGCTGTAGGAGGGCAGTAGAAGATTCGATATGAAACTTTTTTGTGTTGGAACAATTTTAGATCTAGCTCTGTACAGATATTACCACTGTGACTGTTTGTTTGTTTCACATATTATAGTAAACCACCTGAAGGCATTACATTCCAGTTTTGAATGGTAAGTTAAGTACAAGCTGTATGAAGGACAACTATAGGGCCTGCTAGGGATTCTAACCCAGAACCTTACAATGAACTTGGAAAGAAAATTTAAATACATATTGACTTGTGACAACCCCTACATGCTATACATAGGGATATATATTAAAGACTGTATGGATATTAGAAACTCCTTCAACGATTGTATAAGTTGATATCTCATACTAGCCACCCACTTTTGTATTAGATTAGCCTTATGAAAATGTAGTTGACATGTACTTACTTAAGTTAGTAGATGCCATACTTTGTACACTGTACAATTGTTGCGCAATAAAGTTATCTTTATGTTCTAAGCCTACAACCCTAACCAAAAAACACCTTGTCAGCAATATTTGTCTTGTTAATGCTTGTATCTTCAGGTTATCCAATTGGACTAAAAAAGTCCAACTCCTTCAACTTCAAGAGATCACAATCTTCCAAGAAAACAGATCCGAGAAGAAAAGCTGAGGTTTTATTTGAACTGAACGATCAAAGTCTGAATTCCTCCAAACTGCCCAGCATCACCCCACATTGGTCGAGGCAAAGCTGTGCTCTGATTGGCTAGTGATCATCAGCAGACATTCTACGACAGAAAGTTGCAAAGTACCTTCGAAATGTGCCAAAACCTGTTAGAGCATAGGATAACCATTAAAAACACTTCTGAGGACATGAAAAGCACCTAAGGAAGTCTTCTGTACATTTAAAAGTTCAAGAACTGAATAGAGCAATCCAACTAGAGCTGTGTACCTAAACAAATTTTAGGTACAGGTACAGGTACAGGTACACAGGTTTAGGTACAGGTCCGGACCTGAACCTGTACCTGAACAATTCGACCAATTTATATGCTCTTCTGAACTCCTTCAATAACAAAAAAACATAAATAAACTTGATAGTTAAGGTTTATTCTTTGTTTATGGCGAATGCTCAGATAAAATATAGGCAAAACTGTTTTTGTTTTCATGAACACACTGTCCTTACACAGGCACCCATTGTTAACCAGCTATTTAAACATTTGAGGTCACAAATAGGCATAAAATTAGTGTGAAATTGTTTAGGTACAGTACCGGTACTGAGGGATTAGGTATTTTGGACCTGTACCTAATCAATTTTTCCGGTACAGTATCGGTACGGTACACAGCTCTAAATCCAACAAATGATGTTTTGTTAAAAATTGCTAGTTTAAAGAATAAAAGTAAGTTTAAGATATAACTGTATTACCAAGACAACTATCAAGCAATTCAAACATGTTGATAGGCAAATTTGCACACAGTAGCTTGTGTTATCAAATATCTACGTTAAACTACAAGCAGGTTGCCACCGGAAACTTCAAGAATGGACTTCTGCCTAACTAGTACCCAAATCACTAACTAGTGTACAACTTGCCTAACTCATACTGATACTGTGTAAGAAAAACATCCAACTGTATATATGCCTGGAGCAAATCACAACACAACAAAATGACACTAATTAGAAACAAGTCCCTACAGTTTGACAATTAGTATTTCTGGCTACAAGCTCCCAAAATATTTTTTGAACAATTACCACATTATACTGTACATAGCATTTGCATTTTTGATTACCTCTTCTGTAAGCTAACTTAAATCTTTCCCTTTTCCAGCTATTCATTCTATTTGACCCATTTCTATATTATATTTAGTATTACATTTTGTATCCAACAAAAGAGTCCACTACAACAATCTTTAGTTCAGCTGAGAAGTACACACAACACCCTTAAGAAATGCTGACCTCAGCCTTTTTCTTCTGGTGTCAAAACAAGCTGCGAGGAATACAAAACATGCCAGCTTCAGCTGAGCTGTCAGGCTGGGGAATAACAAGGCAGCAGCAAAACTATTGTCTGGTTCTTACGTGGGGTCGTGTGGCGCAATGGCAGCGTGCGCTACTCGGAATCAAGAGGTCCCGGGTTCAAGTCCTGACATGCCACCGATCTTGTGCTCTTAGGAAAGGCACTTTACACGACTTTCCCCACTAGACTCAAGTGAAAATGAGTATTGTCTGTCCAGTATGGGGACAAAGCAAAAATTCTGCCTCATACTCTAGTCTAGAGCTGTCAGACAAGGGAAAAACAGGGCAGCAGCAAAACTATTGTCTGGTTCACAGATTTCATAGTATTGCAAAGCAAAAATTGTGTGTCTCATACTCAAAAACTTGAATGTGTGGTTCTGAAATAAAGAATAGTTCTTGAAATTCTAACAACAGAAACTAAATGAACTGGATGCAAAAGATATACTAGTGTAAATAGAGACTGGTAAATAGTATTATACAATAGAATAAGAAGACAGTTTCTCTAAAACATTTTGGAGACCAAAATCCACCTATGATCTATCTATATTTGGAAGAAGACACTGACTCAATAGTGACCAGATCTCAGCCTTTCACTAACACATGATGTGTACATTTTTGTACATGTACTGCATCACAAATGACATTGGCACCAACTCTTGCCTAACTAGTCACAGACATTGCCTAACTCCACAGCTAAACCTCAGGAAAGTTGCAACTCTACGAAAATTCTATATATTGTACTTTGGAAAGGTTTGTCATAACTCTATTTTCTTCATTTTTATTTTCTTCAATCTTCCTTACAATCCTTCCTGTTCCTTCCTTTATTTTCATGTGTTTGTCATTGTTGTGTCTACTTGAGAAGTTCTTTGCCACATCTGCGATGTGTCAACAGTTTGGCAACAGTTTCTGCACTTGGCTACAGTCACACAGACTTTATAGGGATCACATCCATGCATAGACTGGTTCTGGCTTGGAGCCACCTTTAAAAAAAGGCAAGTTCAAAATGTACGACTCTTTTGGACTGATGCAATTGGCACATGACAGCACTCACACCCAGAAATACATCATATATGCCAAAAACTGACCAAGACTTTTTCCTTGAATCATATTCTTCCATCTGTATCTGCAATTCCATAAATTACTTAACTTCAAATGTTGGCCTGTATCATGGATACAGATACTTGTACATTTGGGAATGCATCTGTAGCAGTGACAAC